GCCCGCCTGACCGCGTTGCCGCTCTTCGTCCTTGGGTGCTTCGGGGCCCGGCCTGCGGGATGCTGCGCGAGGCGCAGGGGACCCGAGACGGAGGGGAGGACAGCGGGCTCCGGGATGGGAGCCGGGCTGGAGTGGGGACTGTGCCGGACCACAGCGGGAGGAGCGCGAGGAGAAGCTGCTAGCAGAGAGCCACTGCCTGCACCGTGCCGCTGCCCGGGCTCCAATCACTATATAGCAGGCGTCCCGCCGGAGCTCCGCCCCCCGCGCCCCGCGACCAATGGTGGCGCCGCATTACCTCATAGCCCTCCGAAAAGGGGGCGGGGCGGGGTCAGGAGCCCGCTTTTGGAGCCTTTTAGGGAATCTCGCTGCCTGGGCGAGGGTGGGCGGGGGTGCTGGGACAAGGACGCGGGAATGGGGCAGCCCCCGCCCCGCAGCCGTGCCAGGAACTTGGCCGTGGGCAGAGGCAGAGATGAAGCCCCACTTCCCAGATGGCCCAGAGAAGGGAAGCTCTCCTTTCTCCTCCCCGCCCCCGTGCCATGGACCCTTTGCAGTTAGCTGTGACAGATGTCTTTACCTGAGCTCCTCTGGAGCAGATGCAGTTGTAAATTCATTCAACAAACACTGCTCTGAATTCAGGAGTGAAAAGTATTAAACAAGCCAGCCCTTACTGCGTGGAAACCTAGGAGCCCATACACAGCAGTTTTCTAGGGTTCCAGTGCTGTGGAGAAACCAAAAACAGAGTTGTGGGTTAGAAATGAGCGTGGCAGGGGTACATTCTTTGGGACTGTCTGTGGAGTGACAGGGAGAGCTAGGACTATCGCAAAGGCCCTGGGCTGTGAGAAAGGCGGAGAGTAGGGAGGCAGCAGAAGATGGGTCTCCATCCTTCAACCAGGAGTTGGGGTGAACTGACCCAAAACTGGAATAAAACAAGTCCTGCGGCCACAGGTGCAGGTGGAGGGCCAGTGAGGCCTGGAATTTCGTCCTTCCGTCAGGAGTCCCTGGGGTAGCTGCTCTGCTCATGGGCAGGCTCTAGCCTTGCCTCCTTCAGGCTCATGGGAGCCCTGCCCGCCAGTGAGGCGCCGGCTGTGCCACCCCAGCCCACCACGGCTGCACTGTCAGAGAAACTTCTCACTGGACATCAGCAGCAGCGGGACCTAAGTGTAGATGCAGCCCACATCTGGGTTGCCCCCTCCTTCCTCCTGCGTGAATGGGGACTGTATGCCCTGACTGTCCACGTGGGGAGGAGCCCTCCGCTGACCCTCTGACAAGTGATGCTGGGGAGGAAGCAGAAGGGGAAACGTGGGCAGTGGGGTTTTGCAGCTTCACTGAACCCGCCCGTTGCCATGGTAGCCATCACAGAGGGAATCTGCCCTGTGCCCCCACCCATCCCAAGGCCCTGCAGTCCTATCCCACTGAGCCGACTCCCAGATGTTTTCCCAGCCTGTCCCTGGGGCTGGTTTTACTGAGCCCAGCTATCCTGCCGACACTTTGAGGTCTGGGATAGTTGGCCAAGAAGCTTTTTAGCCCTCTGAGCACAAAGTGGGGTCCAGGAACCTCAAGTATGGGCATGGCCAGTGGCCCTGGGGTTTTCAGGACAGGTATGGTGGGGACACCCCAGAGAACCAGGCTGAACAAGCACATTCTTGGTGGGATTTGAGAATGTGGTAGAAACTGGCATGGCACCGGTCATGTGGAAGGCTTTAGATGCCTTTCCAGGCCAAATCCACTTTGGATAAGCACCCCACGTGTCGGGGCTCTCCCTTCTCTTTCCCTTGCATCGGGTTTTGCCCACAGTGCCAGTGTTTTCCCCAAGGAGAAGCCATGCCTGGATCGTGAGAGCTGGCAGGGACACCCTCAGTGGGTCCTGGCATCTGCCTAACTGTGCCAGTGTGACTGCCATCTGATCCTCACTCCAGCTGGAAGGCACAAAAGTGCGTTCTCGTTTATGTCCTCTCACTTCTTCTCCCAGGCTGGACCACGCAGCCATGTTGAAGGTCAGAGAACCCAACAGCATCTCAGTTGGGCCCGTCTCCCTGTGCCTACGCCGTCCGTGGCCATACCACCCTGAACACGCCCAATGCTGTCTCCCTGTGCCTATGCTGAGGCACTTGCCTCTGCCCACCTAGGGGCCAGCTCAGCCTCAGCCTGAGGCCAAGAGCAAACAGAATCCTCCTGCAGGTCCGGCAGCAGGAAGACCTGATGGCCACCAACTTGGACACAAGTATGGGCGTGGTCATTGGCCCTGGGGTTCTCAGGACTATGCTGTGGCCACGGCCTAGTCACAGGTAGGAAGTGCTCCCTCAGGTTCTCTCACACTGGGAGTGGAGACCCAGCCCTCCTGCTTGCTCGTGACCACTGAGAGCATGGACACACATGCATCTAGAGCTGACTCGAAGAGTCTCTGTCCACCTGTCCCATCCCATGCCACTGTGTTTATCAGATGAAGACGGAAACTCATGGAGCCCAGGCTGCCTTGCTCAGCTGGGATGGCTGAGTTTCCATGGGGCGTCCTCAAGGGTGGGTGACGGTCCCCAGGAGAGCCGGGTCTCACTGTGTGAGCAGGTTGAACATGCTGAGAGAGCCCTGGCAGCTCCTCTCCAGCCTCCCCTCTGTTCTCTCCTGAGACCAAAGCTGGAGACAAAGCCGCTCTCAAGGCTCAGGAGAGCCGAGTGAGGCTCCAATGCTGCTCTTCTGTGGGTCTCTGGGGTGAGCACAGCAGGTGGCCAGTGATGTCAGATGTTACCTCCTTCAAGAAGCCTTCTCTGAGCCCTGCTCATGGCCTCGCAGCACCTTGCACTTCTTTCGTGCGCAACACTTTGGTGACTTGTGTGGTCGTTGCCTGTCTGCTTCTCTTCTGGGACTGGGAGTCCTTGGGGACAGTGACGAGTGCTGGTAATGAGGAGCTGACCTGGTGACCAGAGGGCTCCTATGTTCCTCCTGTTCTGATAGGCAGGCACAGCTCCCGGCCTTATCCCATGGCAGTGCTAGGGGGCGCTGTGAGCCCAGGAACACCCTGCTCCCTCCCTCGGCCTCTCATCTGTGGAGGGTACAGGCCCTGAGTGGGTGCCGCCCCTCCTGTCTGCACGGCCACAGAGCTCCCGTCAACACCCGTCTGGGCCCACAGCTGCCCGGCACCTCCGCCCGGGCTGGCTGCACGTCCAGCCAAGGGAGCGACGGGCCTGTGAATCACAGGGTTGGGGCCAGGGGAGGACGCTGGCCCTATTCTTCCCCGGCACAGCTGGGCGCTGGGGAAAGGGCTGCCTGGGCCCAGGAAGAAGCACCTCTTCCTTCCTTTCCTTCCTGCCTGTCCCCTCCAGGCCCTGCCCGTGCCTCCCCAGCCCACAGTGCATGTGAAAGTCATTAGCCTCAAACTGCCCAACAGCAGACAGCCGGTCCACCCAGCGCTGCAGCCCGGCCAGACCCTCAGCGGTGGCAGCGGCATGGGGCAGCTGGGGACCCAGGGTGGCTACTGCATCTGCCTGGGGCTGGCACCAGTGGGGCGCACACACCTTCCCTGGCTTCCGCAGGAGCCGATCGCATGGCAGTAGAACTTGAGGGCTTCTCTGGCCCCAGTGCTCCCCGGCGCCTGCCAGGGAATAGGGACCCGCTCAGTCTCCACAGCGTTCACAGGAATCCTGGGGTTTCCGCTTTCTTTCCACATGGAGCAACTCCCAGGAATTTTAAACCAGAAAACACATGTGTGCCGCGGCAAGCGCGTTTTCTGGGGTGGTGGGAAACGGGAGACAGAGCTGAGCAGGCCGTGTCTCTCTCCCTCTCTCCCGCCCCGGGGTACTATGAGTAGAAGGACACACATGTCTCCTCAGCCCACCCTAGTGTTTCCTGTACCCATGCAGTTCATTTGCTTTTCCTTTACAGCAGGCAGCTCCATCATGGTTTCTCCCAAGGCTGCAGCTCAGCCGCACGCCGGCCAGGCGCACAGTGCTGTCTGGGCAGGAGCCAGTGGCCTGGTGGCCCGGTGGCCGTGAGGCCGACTCCTGTCTCCCTGGACCAGAGATCTAGGTCTGAAAGGACCTGGCGCTGCCTCGGCAGACCTGTGGAGACCAAGCTCGTCGAGCCCTGTGCAGCGGGGACAGGGCAGTGGCACAGTGGCCATAAAAGTTCCTCTCTGGTCCTTCTCCAGTTCTGGCTGAGTGCTGGACTCCTCCTGACTTTAAGCCGTGGCCAGGCTCTGTCTCCATGCCTCCCTCCCTCCCTCCAGACCTGCAGGATTCCCTGTCACTCCCTCCTGCACTGTGTTCTCTGTCCACCATCATGTGCCACAGACAGCTGCGCCCCAGCCTCAGGACAGACCCAGAAGTTAAGCCTCCCCAGTCCCTTCTGGGTCACCCGCTCTGGGAGTGACATCCTGCACCCTGTAGATCCTTGATGCCTTTATCTCTCCAGTGCCCCTTCTCCCTGTGCTTCTGGGTGCTGATTTGGATCAGGCCACAGATGCTCTCCCAAGTGTCAGGGCAGCAGCCACCTGCCCAGGGTCCTTCTCTGTCAAAACAGCATCTGACTGCTGACCCTGCCTAACACAGGGAACTCCTGCTCTCCTCTGCTAGACACAACTCATGCTCTGCCGCCTTAAGAACAGAGTCACGAGCTCAGAGACACGCCAGGCACTCCGTGACTGCTGCCCCATGGCACGGGGCGGCAGGCATTGCCCCTGTGCCCTGCCTGCCTGCCCATGCCCACCCTCTGTACCACTGCCCCTGGACCACAGTGCTCACTGGCTCTGCGTGGCCCCAGCCTTCTCTTGCCCTCACGCTCTTCCCACCCTGCAGACCCCAGAGGGTGCTTCTTGGTGCCTACTCCAGCATCTGTACAGAACAGGCTTTTGCCGTGTTTTGTTTTGAACTGAAGGCCTCTGTGCTGAGCCACAACCCTAGCCCTTTTTATTTTGAGAAAGTGCTTGCTAAATTACTCAGCCTGGGCTCAAACTTGGAATCCTCCTGCCTTGGCCCCCCAGAGTGCTGGGATCACAGGTGTGTGTGCCTGGCTCTCTTACCAGCTACTGAACAAATAACCTGTAGGTTGCAGCAAAAGAGGAGGGGGTCGGTGTCACAGGTCCTGGATCTGGCTTTGAGGTCAAATACTAAGCCACAGTCACCTCAGAGCTGAGCGGTTCCAGGGACAAAATGACTCCTGAGACCAAAAGAGGAGCCACACCCTCTTGTCCTC